ATTGATTAGAAAACCATTAGAAGGGTTAAGCATTTTCAAGTTTTAGAATAAGAAGAATCCAACATAATCACTTTATCACAGGATTAGAAAGGCTCCTCAGGTTGAAAAAAATAGCTTAATGATGCTTTTCCTGGTGGAATTAGGGAGAGATGAATAGTGTTGAGGCTAATTTCCCCCATCAATTGATTAGAAAACCATTAGAAGGGTTAAGCATTTTCAAGTTTTAGAATAAGAAGAATCCAACATAATCACTTTATCACAGGATTAGAAAGGCTCCTCAGGTTGAAAAAAATAGCTTAATGATGCTTTTCCTGGTAGAATTAGGGAGACGTATAGAGCGTTGAGGCTAATTTCCCCCATCAATTGATTGGAAGATCATTACAAAGTTTACATCTTTTTAAATCTTGAAATACGAAGAATCCAAGTTAAGTCGTCACGGTGACAGGATTAGAAAGGCTGCTGTGGTTGAAATATATATATTTAAAAGGGTTGAGAGGAAACACCACTGTTATTTGTCGAAAGCATTATCAATGTTTATTGCCTTCAGAATAATCCTTTCTGTACATCTGGGTAAGAGATGTTTTAAGACAGGTCTGTGTCCGATGGAGAAATGTTCCACATTTGATTCATCAGAGTTTTTCACAACTATACTAGGACTCGCTGTTGATCGAAAAATCAGTCACAAGAATAAAATCTCAGCATGAGATTTTCTTGCAGGGCATTTTTATAAGGCTTGACTGATACAATGGTTCCATTTCTCCCTAGGTGAGAATGGAACTCAGGTGGAATTTAACCATCTTCTGTTTTTTCTTCTTATCCCATTTCAAATTAGCCATTTACAGAATGTGCTGCCCCGCCTAAGGACTTTTTCTCAGGACCAACTCAGTATGCTTCCCCTGCCCTTGGTCACTCAAAACTTCTTTTTCAGTTCTTCAGCCCCTTCTGAGCCTTTGTGACATAATGGACACCGTTTTCCAGAGTTGCGTCTCAGGAAGGGCCTCCCTGAGGTCTTGTAAGCTCATTCTTCTACCTCCAGGGATATTATTTCGCCACATGCTTTCTGCTGGACTCTTCCTCAGTTGCCTTCGAATGTTCTGAGCATCAGACCAGCTTTATTCCTTAAGTCTCCCTGGCTTCCAGCAGGCAAAGTGCTATCACCAGCATGAAACTACTGATGTTTCTCCCGGTAGTTTCTATTTCTTTTAGCCTACTCTAGCATTTCTCATGATACTCTCTTCAGGTAAATTGTCTGTTAGTCTCAGTATTCTTTAGCACCGTCCCTGTTTTGGAGCGTACACCCCAATGGTATAGCTCCAGGTATCACTGGATTGCACGAGCCTCTTCACAATTAGAAGATAAAATGCCTGAAGGGGATGGAAAACTATTCTGATGTAAAATTTGTTGTCTAGTTGCCCATTCCTCTCCTGCCCTGAATGCCTCTGTTTCCAGTAATTTCCTCTGTCCCCAGCGACTTCCCTCCAGATTTTGCATATGGAAAAGATGTAGTAAGACATGGAAAAAAAATGTAATGGAAACATATTTTGCCATGGTTAGCTGTAAGGGGGAAGGCACTAAATTTGTGGATTTTCTTCCTTTCAGGACTTGAAGAATTTGGCTGCCGGACACCCACAAATTGTGATCATCACACTGGGTATGTGTCCCGAAAACCCCTTTGGTTCTTCTCTAGCTGGGAAGGAAAAGAGCTGAAATTCAGCACCATGGTAGATCATGCCAACTAGGCACGAACTCCATACGTCTACATCAGATATGGCAAACGTTGCCTTGTGTTACAATTACACTTTAGGCAGAATTCCAAAAATGGATTCCAGAAACAGTTGGATCTGCTAACCAACGAAGAAACAAACAAACAAACATTCTGCTAGGCAGATGCATTGGAAAGTTAATATCCAAGCAGTAAGTCTGATGACTTCTTGATAGTTCTCTCTTCTGTCTCTCTCAAAGTTACAAGTTGGCTGCAAACTCTGGAGTGTTATTGGGAGCCACTCACACCCAAAGCTTGTAGGTGAATTTGGTAGTTTGCATACCTAATGAGGGTGAGGATCTGGCTGGCAGTACCAGTCACCACTTGGCTTAGAGAGGGTATGGTGTGCAACATGTTGTTACTAATCCAGTATGCTCAGAACTGTTGGTTTTCAGTCATTCAGTCACATGTGATTCTCATAACTGGCTGAACATCATTGGTGTGTCACCTCTTTCATATAAGGTCCTCCTTGTGTCATCAGAGACAGCATCTGTAGTGGTCTGGTCAAGTAATGTTTTCAGGTCTGTGCACAGCATATTGGGGTCCATAGTCCAAAGTCATAGAATAATCAAGAAAGTGCAAATAAATATCCTTTTTGGATTTTCGTACCTTTTCCATTATCATTGGATGTGAGCAGTGTGATTTCTGGTCTCTCTGCTTCTTCTGAAATTGCCTTGTGCTGTCAGGAATTCCTGTATCTTGTTGAAGTCTGGACTGCAGAAGCCTGAGGATTATTTTATTACCACATGAGATAAGTGCATGGTTTGGTAGTTTGAGCATCCTTTAGGACTGCCTTTTTCACTCTGAAATAAAAATTAATATTTTCCATGCCTATTTAAGGCTGGGAGCAGCATTTTAACAGCATCATCCTGCAAACCTTTAAACCATTCCACAAGTATTTCCTCACCTTCTACAGCCTTTGCTTAGCAATTGGTCTTATTCTCATTTATTCAATAATGATTTATTGGCTAAACCCCGATTTGATGGGTTTGTAGGATATGCTAAGCCATAAATCAGAGGTTACAAACATTAATAGATTCAGACACACAAAACAGAATCCCAATCAACCATACTATTGCTTTCTGTGTCAGAGGAACCCCATCAGAGTAGTTTGCAAACCAAAAACCCATGGTTTAAGTAATTCATGGCTTCATGCAGTGCTTTGTCCCATCCGTAGTTTAATAACATGAATGAACTCAGATACTGTCTTGCCTTTATTGGCTTCATGAAGAAGTCCTGCATTTTTCAAAACCATCAGTAGACCACATGTCTCTGCAGTCTTGAGTAATCCCAAGGAAGTCATTTTATTAAAAGAAGAAGCAGCAGCAGCAATATGAACAAAATACGGGTATATTTGTTGGACCATTGTGCGGTATGCAAAGCTGGACATGAAATAATATACCTTTATTTTTCCCACTGTAGACACATCTGATCCATCCAGCGTTAAGGCTGCTGTAGCCAAAGTTACAGAACATCTGAAAGGGGCTGGATTGAACCTGCTGATTAATAATGCAGGGATTCTAAATATGACCAGCTTGGAGACTGAAACACCGGAGACCATGTCTGAAACCTACAGAACCAATGTGATTGGGCCCATGATAGTTACCCAGGTAAGGATATTTTGCAGTCCTTTCTTCATTGTGTAGGAAGAATAGCTATTTAGATGCAAGTGTTTCACAGAACAGATGTTGGCTTGTTTGGATTTTTTCTGGTCTAAAGAACTCTAGGCTATTTCTGGACTTTCTCCAGGGAATTCCCTGAGGGACTTTTGTCCACTCCCTCCCTCTCAACCCAAGCACCTACCTCACAGATTTGGGATTGTAAGAATGAATCCTGGGCTCCTAGAGCTCTTTAAAAATGGGATATCAAAACATGAATAAAAATTTTGCCCAGCAGCTGCACAGACTATGATAGACTATGGATAGACCATGGATAGAATGAGGATGGAAAAATTGTGTTGATTGAAACAGG